TAAGCTTCATTCACTGCATTTGAGGTAGGATATAATGAAGTGGGGATGAAAGCTGGGAACATGGCAGAATCATATGCATGGGGTTTTGGTCTGTGTCCTTGGTGGTTGACCTTCCAGGGGTTGATCTTCCTGTACCAAGAATTCATCTTTGGAAACAGTGGTGTCTGAGGGAGATAAAGAGTCCCTGTCACCAAGAAAAAATTTGGACAGAAATACTCCCAAGAACTACAGAATTACATACTTAACAGATACAACCTTTAGTGTGAATGTTGGCAGCCCAGAAGGGATCTGCTCAAGGAAAAGGCTCCATCAGTGGCCTGGAAGACAGCTATTGGCAGGCTGAAATCAGCTACCAACAGCTTCAATAGCAGCAGAAAAGGGAAAACACAGCAGAGGGCAGGAACTAGAGCAAGCTAGAGAGGAGAGAGCCTAGGAGGGTACCTGCAGGTGGCAGAGAAAGCAAGGTCACAAGGACTTGTGGCAAGGGCAAAATCTCCCTCACAACAGAGTAACTTCTTTGAGGTTTTGGCAACATTTCAAAGGACTGGGGTCCAGTGTTCACAGCCTAGAACTCTCTCTGACTGCCTCTTAAGAAAGAACTGATGGTCATCACCAAACTTACATCAGGGCAGCAGTTCGTGACCTGGCACATTGTGTTTGACTAAATTGGTTACCAAATTTTCCTCCATCTGCATATTTGATGAGGCGTGACTCAAGTGACCACTTGCTATTTCCATGACAAAGAAATGTGAGGAAACATTTCCTGGAGCAGAAATAATCTGAATCCAGGTGTTCCTGCCCATCATGTGCTGGCTGGGCTGCTGCTCAGGGAAGGGTGAGTTACTCCCAGCTAGGGCTCCCACCCTCACTAACTTGTGGAAGGAAAGCAGACATTATTGCTTCCCTGAAAGTGGGTATTAATGATGGCCTTCTAAAGAGGACAAGGATGCAACTGCATCCTTCACTCATATGTTACAAGTATTTGTGTGTGCATTCATTCTGCGATGAGAGTAATGGTTCTACAATTAATCTCTTCTTGTGACTTAACAACTTCTAAGATGTGCTTTTAGAAATGTTACCACATACATTTTGTTTGTAGGTTTGTGTATTAAAATTAGGTGACAATAAGGACAAATACTAGAATTAAAATTCTACCTGTGATCAAGTAAATCATTATTGGGCTATAATTCCTTGCTTCTTTGAAGATTTCTTCTTTGGTTCTGGGACACTAGACTCCCCAGGTGTTCTGCAAATTGCACCGACCCCTCCTCCTTAGTTTCTGCTAGATCTCCCTCACCTGCCCTAACTTTTTCATCGGTTTCTACATTGATTTGCTTTGTCATCTCATTCATTACAGGACTTTGAGTGCTACCTACATGTTGTCAACTTACAACTTTCTTTGTTTATTTCTCCAGTCCAAACTTCACACCTAAACTCAAGATTAATAAACCCACCTGCTTATTTAACCTCTATCTGATGTTTACTACAGTACCCCCAGGACTTCCCTGATAGCTCAGTTGTTAAAGAATCTGCCTGCAATGCAGGAGACCCTGGTTCAATTCCTGGGTCAGGAAGACCCACTGGAGAAGAGATAGGCTACTCACTCCAGTATTCCTAGGCTTCCCTTATGGCTCAGGTGGTAAAGACTCTGCCTGCAATGTGGGAGACCTAGGTTCGATCCCTGGCTTGGGAAGAACCCCTGGAGAAGGGAAAGGCTACCCATTCCAGTATTCTGACCTGGAGAATTCCAAGGACTGTATAGTCCAGGGGGTCGCAAAGAGTTGGACACGACTGAGCAGCTTTCATTTTCACAGTACCCCCAAAGCCCCACCCAATTTTCTCTGTCCCAATTGTGATAACTCCATCCTTTCAGCTGTTCAGGCCCAAAGCCTGGGAGTTGATCTCCACTCCTGTGTTTCTCTCCAAATTCATATCACATTGTCAACAAATCTCACTGGGTTTGCTTTCAAGCTATATCTAGCATGATTTCTTCTCACTTTCTCAACTATGGTTCATATCTCCCTAGACTGTGGTATCAGCCCTCCTTTCTCCCTGCTTCTGCCATGGACGCCAGTAGGCTCTTCCCAGATCAGCAGCCAGTGTGCTCCTGCTCGAGGGCAAGCCAGATCCCATCACTTCTCCATTCAAAGGCCTCCAATGGCTTCTCATGTTGCTCAGAGTGAAAGTCACAGTTCTCATGGGGACCACCCAGGCCTCATTCACTCCATCCCCTACCCTCTCCACTGCCCTCCAGACGCACTGGTCTCGCTGTGTGTCCTGCACACTCTGAGTGCTCCTGCTCGGCAGTCTTGGATTTGCGTTTCCCAGACTGCTCTGCCCAGGCACCCATGTGGCGTTTTCCTGAGTGGCACCTTCTCCGTGCACCCTTCCCTGTCTTAATTCATGGTTTTCCTCCCTACCTTGGTTGCCCCTGCGCCTTTCCCTGCTTTATTTTTTCACCGTCATGCTCCTCAGCATCTAACACACTACTGTATTTTTATAGATAACTCTTCGTTGTTATTTCTCTCCCCTCTAGACTCCTCAGCGGCAGAGATTCTGTGTCATCCTCTGCTGTGTCTACTGCCTGGGTGCTCAGGAAACCAGTTGATGCATAGGAGAAAGTTCTTCCTTCTTTAGGAGGACAATGATTGAGACAAATCTTATCAGCCAAAAATCTGATTTAAAAACCAGGCTTCTTGTATTGTGCCATGCACTCAGTAGGCATGCTGTAAAACACATTTGAATAGATGACATTTTTTATGGACTCTTATGAAAAAGGATAATTGCCGTGTGAAAAACAAAACTAGGCATTTTTTTTTAACTCTCTAAAACCATGGACATATTAGAACTTTATTAACATTTTTACTAGCTAACTTACTACACTAATATTTTCTTTTTATTTTATTTTTCCATTTATTTTTATTAGCTGGAGGCTAATTACTTTACAATATTGTAGTGGTTTTTGTCATACATTGACATGGATCAGCCATGGATTTACATGTATTCCTCATCCCGATCCCCCCTCCCACCATCCCTCTGGGTCTTCCCAGTGCACCAGGCCTGAGCACTTGTCTCATGCATCCAGAAAACTAGGCATTCTTAAAAAAAAAAGTTGCTCCAACGTTTTCTTGAACATCATTATTCATATTTGGGGACTGCTTGCCATTCAAAAATACTATTTTAGATGATGCTATTTAGCCTTAGATCTGAGACTTTCATAGCCAAGTTAATATATAACATTTAACTAACTTTGCATCTTTACCTTTTCCATCAGTTAAGGTTGATTTTTTTAATCTAGAAGATGAGTATGAAAATAATTTATATTTGACTTCATAATGCCATTCTCCACCCAAAGAAGCAGAGCTTCTTGGAGAAATGGATGATTCCAGACCTGAGGCAAAGACAGTGTAAACAATGCCTAAGAGCTAAGAGAATTATGTCAAAAAAGGACAAAAGAGTGTGTTAGAAGAGACTCTTCCTAGCCAATTTTGGGATTATTTGAGTATCAAAAAGAGTAATGACAGAAGCTGTATATACACACTGCTTTGAACAAAATCGGCAAGACAATAACTCCCTGTCACCAAAAAGAGAGAGAGAGAGGAGTGTGAGAAAGAAAGCCTCTTCTTAAAAAAATACCAGCTAATAAATGTTGGAGGAATGATGGAATTAGAAAATCAAAATTATCAAAATGCCAAATTATCATCCCCGAGGTTACTTGTTACTTACAAAGAGAAAGCATTAATTTTTCAATGGAGAGAGATGACAGTTATCACTTGAACCAAGTGATGCAAAATTACTGATAGTGGAATATCTTCACCTTACCTTTCTCTGATGTGGAGCAAGGGAAACTAATGTGCATAGTTTATGTTACTATGAAATCTTCTTGCCACAGAGCTGACTCTAATCAAGCCCCTAGATTTTGCTTCTGCTTTACAGGAAATATTCAGTATAAATGCACAAGTGAAACCCTGAAATGATGTGTGCAGAAAAATCTAGAACATGGGTGTGCTACAGGATAGCAGCCTGGACTTTCCAAAAAAATCACAGTCCCAGGAAAAAAAGAAAAGTAGGAAGCCTATTCTAGTTGTAAAAATATAGAGATACAATAACCAAGCAACACAGCATATAAAATTAATTCAATACTGGATTAAAGTGCTCTTTAAAGATATTCTTAGGATAATCAGAAAATTTAAATATGGAATGGATGTTAAATGATGTTATGAAATGATTTTTACTTTTCTTAGCTTTTCTTGTTTGATAATTGTATTATGAACATTAGGGGAACATTCTTATTCTTAGGAAATGATGCTGAGGTACAAAAGTTAAGTGGCATGATATTTGTAATTTACTTATAATGATTTAGAAGAAGAAACCAAATAGATGGATATATATGTGTGTATATATATATATGTATATATATATGTATATATATGCATACACATATATATACATACACACACATTATATATTTAGAGAGGATGCACACATGTGAAAATACTAAAAACTTGAATTTTGCTAAGGGGTACCTAAGTATTATACTATTCTGTTAATTTTTCTGTATTCTTGATTTCTTTTCAAAATAAAAGAGTGGGGAAAGCAAAAATGCATGTAAATTAACTCTAAAAACACACTGCTCCACTGATATTTCGTCCTTTGATGGACTATTTTAGGGATATGTTATTTGTGTCATGTCTCAGTAAATTCAATTGTAGTAAAAAACAGCAGTCACTATTAGGATGAAGAAAAGTGAACTTGCTGTCAAGTCTTGGCTACATAACCCACTATCTAGTGATCATGGGCAACTCACTTTTGACCCTTAAGGTTTAGTTTCCTCGTTTGCACAATAGGAATAATGTCCTGCCCACTCACAAGATATTATGACATAATCATACTTTCAACCCAAATTAATATATAGCTGAATTCCTTTTTCTTCTCCTGAAGTGTGAAAATAACTTCATGAAAGAAGAGAATTTGACCCTAGGCATTCATGAAAGTCTTACCTTTTAGACCACAAAGTCTACACATGGCTGCAAACACTGTAGACTCCATTTCAATATTTCTGACGCCGGCATTATATGCTCTCTTCAAGTAATCTAACCCCTTTTCTCTGGAAAAAGAGCACAGTGCTCCATCTAGTCGACCCTGGCCTGAAAGAGAATGGAGAATGTTTAGTGACTTGATGTCCCACTACAGTTGCTATGGCATCACTAAGAGGCTTGCTGCCAGACCAAGTGCTCTGTGGCTAAGTCTAACCTGTGGCCTGCACCCCAGGTAAGGTAAATCTAGCCATCAGAATCATCCTACCAGAGGACATGAGGCAAGATTGTGCCTAGCTCAAGCATCTCACATAGAGTGGGGTCTCCATGGCACTGAGCTCCCCAATTCTGGGGCAAGTAACCACTGAGTGGCCTCAGCAGCCAGCACTGTGCCCAGGGATAGCGGGATCTGGAGGGTCGCTGGAAGATCTGCCCTTTGAGGAAAATCTCAGGTTGCTCCTGTGACTGGCAGATGGCCCAGAAACAGTTGCTGCAGAAGAATAAAATGCTCCAAGCCCCAGTGATGATCCTAAGCTACTTGAGGACCAGGAGGGTGGTTTGGATATTGCAATTCCGTCTGACCATCATAACCATGGTAGCAACCTACAGACTGTTGATTGGTCAACCCTGTTTCCTGCCACACACCCCAGGCTGCACGCTAGCCTTTTGTGATCACATTTTTCCCTTTTAGGATGCTCTCAGTGTTTATTTAGCACATAATTCCACCTGCACCTACTAGTGGGGCCAGAAGGGGCAGGAGAAAAGGCGGATGCTATGACTCCTCCACTGCGCATGCGCTGGGGAGAGACTTCACCGGGTCCTACCTCTGAGGGTGTCCTATTGAAGCAGGGCGGCCAGTATACACTGTTATCCATATTGCACATTTCTTTTTTTGTCTCCCTTTCCTCTCCTTTTTCCCATTTCCTTTATCCTTCATGCTGCTTCTACTGTCCCTACTTCTCCTCCCACACTCCTTGGAGCTGCCTGCTAACACACCACTAATGAACCAGTCTAAACGCAGACGTCCCACAAGTCAAGAAGGTAATGTCAATGAGGTGTGTCTGGTGGGAAGGGAGCAGCCTCACCTCACCTTCAATGAATGCAGCCCCAGGTGTGACTTGCCAGGGCGGCTGTGCATAAATTATTTTATATTTTTAATATTATGTTATTTCAAGAAGCCAAAAATCTGGGTTTTTCATATGAAAAATGAAAAATTTTTTTCATTTTTCATATGAAATATCCAGAACATATAAATGTTGGCAAAATAATTCACACTTTAAAAATACTGTGCAGCCCAAAGAAACATTGACTCCTACATATGCTCTTTGCAAGCTCTGGCTTAAATTCATTGGTGACCCTCCCAATGAAGGGGCCAGTGGCCTGAGATGGAGTCTTTACCCTATCAGACCCAAAGCACCTCCTATTTTATAACGCGTATGTTGTGACAACACATTTACTAACCTGAAGTAACCAGTATAGATAATATAATGTATCTTCACAAATAATTGCTTAGAATTCAATGTAGTACTTTAAGTTTGATCCAAAGGGAAAAGAAAAATAATTAAAAATGAAGTAATATGTGGTTTGATGAACATACTTAGACACAGCTGTACTACAAGATTTCTAGAATGTCCTCCAAGGAATGGTACCAACCCTGGTTAGATTCTTTCTTGTGGAATGAGCAGGGTCTGTTCTGGAATGATTTTTCTCCTGGCCCCCCACCCCTTGTAGCAAGAACTGCTACTTGGAAGTCACCTTCAATTTGTTCCTAAACTTGATTTGAGGACCTTTTACTCATGGCTGAGAGAAAAGAGAACTGATCTGAGACTATTCCATCCCTTCAGGATTTCCCCCTCCAAATATTTCTCCTGATTTCCTGGTTCCCACTCTTCTCTAGGTTCCTGCTCCTTTTCAAGGTACTGGTGAATGTACCTCAAAATGGCAGAAGCAGAGAACTGTATCCCCCTTCTCCAGTTTAAATTAAAGATATAAACAGAGATAAGATTTTACGAACATCACTAATTGCATAGAGTATCCAATTTGTTCTTGGAGGATTAAACCCACTCTCAAAATAAATTCATTATGTGTATGTCTCTTCTGCTTATTATGTCCTTACATTTCTTTACTTTAGTAAGTTGAAAAGGCTGTTTCAGTGCCTCTTTAAATCCCCAACTATTAATTCTCTATGGTGAAGTTTTTAATATAAATTATAGGTTTGAATAACAAAGTATTGCTGGTAATTTTCTGCTGCTTTCACAGTTTATAAATTCTTCTCACCTTCATAAAAATCATAGGTACACATCGTATGTCCAATGAGGGTTGGGAAGTTGGAAATTTCTTTGCTACAGTTGAATAGTTCCTCAGCCAGCTCTTTGTCAAGTTCAGTGCTTCTGGTGACAATGTTGTCCAAGATTACCTGTTCAAACCGGGGCTTAAAGAAGGAGTCTACGGCTTCATCTGTTATTACAACGGATCCCGGTGCAATCCCTGCAGTATGGGAATAAATAGGTGGTTACAGAAGAATGTCACTTATAGTTGACTTGTGACACATAGTATATAATCTCTTCTTCCAGCATTTTTTTCTTCTTCCAGCATTAATTAATGCTAGTTGCTAATGATTCTCTGGATTTTCAAGTTTTAAATTATTTTCTTTTCCAAATGCAATTAATAGTAACACTCCAAAGAGGCGTTTACATTTGCTGTCTTTCCAGATTCACATTTACAATGTGATGGGGTTTAGATTTCAAGATAAACATGACTCTTGGGCATGCAAATTAGTATTGGCCTTCGGGCTCAAATTTGAATAAATTAGGTCAGGAATAAACTAAGTGAGCCTGCCAGCAAGTAGTCTTCATAAAGTGATGTGACTATTTGATATTTAATCTTCTCTGCTGCTCTTTGATTACTATAATTTCTTTGCATCACTGTCCTCTCTTCCATTTGATCTTCATCACATCCATTCCCTCCTCCCCTCTCCCACCCCATGTAAATTAGGCCTCTTGTCTGACCTTCCATTGCTACAAAGTCTGGTTTGCTCCTGGGACTCAGGAACTCAAGTGTCTGGGACTTGAGAAACCATTTTCTGCCAACTGTTATTCCCCTGGCCTGACGCGCTGTCTCATCCTCCCCCATGCACTTTCATCAGACTAACTCCAACCCGTTCTTCAAGTGTCAGTTTAAATCTCTTCCTTCAAAAGATCTGAATCCACAGTGGAGTGTGGGGAGGTCTAAAAGGTCACACAGATAGATTACATTCAATTTCCCCAGGAGGCTTTCCCTGATGGCTCAGATGGTAAAGAATCCACCTACAATGCAGGACACCTGGGTTCGATCCTTGGGTTGGGAAGATCCCCTGGAGAAGGAAATGGCAAACCCACTCCAGTATTCTTGCCTGGGAAATCCCATGGACAGAGGAGCCTAGTGCATGGGGTCACAGACAGTTGGACATAACTGAGCAACCAACACTTTCTTCACTAGATTCTCTCTGTCCTAAGATTCATTACACTTGTAATTCCTCATTTGTTTGTCTGTTGTCCTGATAAAACATAGGCTCTATAAAGGCAAGGGCAGTATTTGTCCTCTGTTTTCTCCTTGGTAGTATTATGCCTATCACATTATAGGTTTTGTTAGTATTCAGTCACTAAGAGTCCAGCTCTTTGTAACCCCATGGACTGCAGCACACCAAGCTCCTCTGTCCTCTATGTCCCAGAGTTTGCTCAAATTCATGTCCATTGTGTTGCTGATGCGATCTAACCATCTCATCCTCTGCCACCCCCTTCTCCTTTTGGCTTCACTCTTTCTGAGCATCAGGGACTTTTCCAATGAGTCAGTTCTTCAAATCAGGTGGCCAAAGTACTGGAGCTTCAGTTTCAGCAGCAGTCCTTCCAATGAATATTCAGAATTGATTTCCTTTGGTATTGACTGGTTTGATCTTGGAGTTCAAGTGACTCTCAAGAGTCTTTTCCAGCACTACAATTTTTTTGTGTTGTTTATAGTCCAGGTCTTTATTTTTATACCCATCAGGCCATGAATTCATAGAGAATGGGCTCCAGCAGTTTGTTGGGTTCCTTTCCATTGGTCCTTATGAAGTGTACTTCTCTGGGTAGAGCAGGCTGTCACTTCAGCTGAACCCAAGTCCCTTTCTCTTTGGCTTCCTTCTTTTTCTGATCATTTTCCTTCACATATTTCAGGAAGCATCTCAGCTCTTAGGTTGCTTAATATGATCTATATGCACATTAATTCGCTTGGCAAGAATCTTGCCCTTAACTTGTTTGTTTACAATGATGCCAACAGCATGCTAGGTAACACTGTAGACTCTCCCAGTTTTGCCATGGTAACATTTATGGGGCATTCCTTTTTCAACAATACCCATCCCCTTGATATCCACGATATCATCCTTCTTGTAGATTTCTATGTATGTGGCCAAAGGAACAACTCCGTGTTTTCTGAAAGGCCTAGGGAACATGTAGCGGGTGCCCCTCCTCTTTCCCTTTGTGTTGGTCATTTTGGTGAATTACTGGAAGGTGGTGGTTCTGGCCGAAAGGCCAGCACCACAATTTGAAAGCTTCAGTTTTGGCGCTTAACCTTCTTTATGGTCCAACTCTCACATCGATACATGACTACTGGAAAAGCCATAGCTTTGACTATATGGACCTTTTTTGGCAAAATGATGTCTCCACTTTTCAATATACTGTCTAGGTTTGTTACAGCTTTTTTTTCCAAGGAGCAAACGTCTTTTTATTTCATGGCTGCAGTCACTATCTGCAGTGATTTTGGAGCCCAAGAAAATAAAGTCTGACACTGTTTCCAGTTTTCCCCCTTCTTTTTGCCTTGAAGTGATGGGATCAGATGCCATGATCTTAATTTTTTGAATGTTGAGTTTCAAGCCAGCTTTTCCGCTCTCTTCTTTCACCTTCATCAAGAGGCTCTTTAGTTCCTCTTCATTTTCTGCCTTTAGAGTGGTATCATCTGCATATCTGAGGTTATTGATATTTCTCCTGGCAATCTTGATTATAGCTTGTGATTTATCCAACCCGCCATTTTGCATGATATACTCTGCATAACAGTTAAATAAGCAAGGTGACAATATACAGCCTTGTCATACTGCTTTCATAATTTGAAACCAGTGTTTTGTTTCATGTCCAGTTCTAACTGTTGTTTCTTGACCCCCATATAGGTTTCTCAAGAGACAGGTAAAGTGGTCTGGTACTCCTATCTCTTTAAGAGTTTTCCACATTTTGGTGTGGTCCACACAGTCAAAGGCTTTAGTGGAGTCAATAAAGCAGAGGTAGATGTTTTTCTGGAACTACCTTGCTTTCTCCATGATCCAGTGAATGTTGGCAAGTTGATCTCTGGTTCCTCTGCCTCTTCAAAACCCAGCTGGTAAACCTGGAAGTTCTCAGTTCACTACTGCTGAAACCTAGCTTGAAGGATTTGGAGTGTAACCTTGCTAGCATGGGAAATGAGCTCAATCATATGGTAGTTTGAACATTCTTTAGTATTGCTCTTCTTTCAAATTGGAAGGAAAACTGACATTTTCCAGTCCTGTGGCCACTGCTAAGTTTTCCAAATTTGCTGACATACTGAGTGCAGCACTTTAACAGCATCATCGTTTAGGATTTTTAATTAGCTCAGCAGGAATTCCGTCACCTCCAGTAGCTTTGTTCATAGTGATGCTTCCTAAGGCCCATTTGACTTCACATTCCTAGATGTTCAGCTCTAGGTGAATAACCACATCATCATGATTATCTAGGTCATTAAGACCTTTTTTGTAAGTTCTTCTGTATATTCTTGCCACTTCTTCTTAATCTCTTCTGCTTCTGTTAGATTCTTACCATTTCTGTCTTTTATCATAGTGGTTCAGTTGGTAAAGAAGCTTCCTGCAATGCAGGAGACCCAGGTTCGATCCCTGGGTCAGGAAGATCCTCTGGAGAAGGGAATGACAACCCACTCCAGTATTCTTACCTGGAGAATTCCATGGACAGAGGAGCCTAGCTGACTGTAGTCCATGTGGTCACTAAGAGTCAGACATGACTGAGCGACTTTCACTTTCACTTTTCATCCTTGCATGAAATGTTCCCTTGATATCTCCAATTTTCTTGACGAGATCTCTAGTCTTTTCCATCCTATTGTTTTCCTCTGTTTCTTTGCATTGTTCATTTAAGAAGGCATTCTTACCTTTCCTCGCTGTTCTCTGGAACTCTGCATTCCGTCGGGTATATCTTTCCCTTCCTCCCTTGCCTTTTGCTTCTCTTTTTTTTTCCTCAGCTCTTTGCAAAGCCTTCTCAGACAACCACTTTGCCTTCTTGCATTTCTTTCTCTTTAGGATGGTTTTGGTCACCACCTCCTGTACTGTGTTATAAACTTCCCTCCATAGTTCTTCAGGCATTCTATCTACCCGATCTAATACCTTGAATTAATTAATCATCTCCACTGTATAATCACAAGGGATTTGATTTAGGTCATACCTGAATGACCTAGCCGATCTCCCTACATTTTTCAATTTAACCCTGAATTTTGCAATAAGGAACCGATGATCTGAGCCACAGTCAGCTCCAGGTCTTGTTTTTGCTAACTGTATAGAGCTTCTCCATCTTTGGCTGCAAAGAACATAATCAATCCGATTTCAGTATTGACCATCTCATGATGTCCATATGTAGAGCTATCTCTAGGGTTATTGGAAAAGGGTGTTTGCTGTGACCAGCATCTTCTTGTGAAAAAACTGAGCATTTACCCTGCTTCATTTTGTACTCCAAGACCAAACTTGCCTGTTATTCTGGGTATCTGTTGACTTCTTACCTTTTCATTCCATTCCCCTATGATGAAAAAGGCATCTTTTTTGGTGTTAGTTCTAGAAGGTCTTGTAGGTCTTCATAGTACCAATCAACTCCAGCTTCCTTGGCATCAGTGATTGGGGCATAGACTTGGATTGCTGTGATATTGAATGGTTTGCCTAGAAATGAATCAAAATCATTCTGTCGTTTTTGAAGCTGCACACAGGTACTGCATTTTGGACTCTTTTATTGACTATGAGGGCTACTCTCTTTCTTTGAAGGGATTCTTGCACCCAGTAGTAGATAAAATGGTCACCTGAATTACATTTGCTCTTTCTGTTCCATTTTAATTCACTGATTCCTAAGATGTCGGTGTTCAATCTTGCCATCTCCTGCTTGAACACCTCCAATTTACCTTGATTTTTAGACCTAACATTCCAGGTTCCTATGCAATATTATTCTTCACAGCATGGAACTTCACTTTCACCACCAGACATATCCACAACTGGGTGTCGTTTCTGCTTTGGCCCAGCCACCTAATTATTTCTGGAACTATTAGTAGCTGCCCTCTGCTCTTCCCCAGTAGCATATTGGACACCTTCTGAACTGGAGGGCTTATTTTCTGGGGTCATATCCTTTTGCTTTTTCATGCTGTTCATGGCACTCTCATGGCAAGAATACTGGAGTGGGTTGCCATTTCTTCCTCTAGTGGACCACATTTTGTCAGAACTCTTCACTATGACCTGTCCATCTTGGGCAGCCCTGCATGGAATGGCTTATAGCTTCATTGAGTTATGCAAGTCCCTTTGCCACAACAAAGCTGTGATCCATGACACATTATAAGTACTCATTATAAGTAAAAATTCATTGAATGAGTGAAATGTTTTCATAGAGATGCCATAGACAGAGATCTGAAAACTATAACTTATGGGCCAGATCCAGTCCATCTTTGTAAATAGAGTTTTATTGAAACTCAGCCACATTCACTCATTTGCTTATTTTTAATGATTGTTTCCACACTAATGGCAGAGTTCAGATGTTGCAACAGAAACCATATGGACTGCAAAGCCTAAAATATTTATTATGTGACTTAGTATAGAAAAAAATTACAAACCTCTACCACAGTGCATAGACATATCCTTCTGGGTTCTTAATAAATCCCAACATGGGTCAGCATGTGGTTGATTTAGAAAATCCAGGTAGAGACCCAAAGTGGACTATGATAATAGAAACTTGGTAGGTCAGATACTTTTTAAGTAAATCAAAAAAGTAGCTTCTTGAATTATTCACAATGTCCTAAAGACAAGAAAGTGACTGAGAAGGAAACTGAAAATGTGGACATCAATAATGAAGTTATTCACATGCCATCCTATTATTTAGATGCATTGAAACATTTTTATCCCTGTTAAAGGCTAATGTACTATTTACTATTTATTCAAATACTTCATCATCATCAAGTTTTGTTGGCTCATCTAAAGAATGGAAACATAAGGGGGGAAAAAAACAAGTTGCACATTCTTCATCTGCAAATCAATGCTTCTTACGACAAAACAAACAAACACATCTTACCAATAAGTTAAGAATTCTTAATGAGACCAACTTCAAAATGATAGATATCCACAACAGCACATTGCTTTAATTTCCCACAATTCATAGGCCTTCATTGTGCTGCAAGGGATGTATGTATCATGAAGCAAAACACCTAGAGTCCATGACCATAAGCCGGATAGTCAGTAGGGTACCTTGCCCACACTGGACACTTGCTAATATCGTAGGGAAACCTCAGCGGTCAGGATGGTACACTGCATGGGCACAGGCTACACAGACAGATCCTTGTATCCCACAACTCAAGAATTCTGAGCACTTTTTATAACAACATTATCCATTTCACCCCCAAATGCCTCATTCCCTACTATTGCATATTTGGCATAACATTAGCTAAACAACCATCCCGAAGGATGCCTGATCTAACAATGATTACTAACATTCTCCTTCTCTTCTGAATGGACATCCATAGATGTCCATTAATCCGTCTGTGAGGGTCTTGGATGGACTTTATTCCTGTACCACAGCTGTGGAAAGGACATGATTTTTTTTTAACATGTTTGTTTCCAGTGAAGCACGACTTAGCCACTTGTGTAATTCTAAGACCAAATTTTTTAAAATAATTTCCAGCTTTAAAAAAAAAAATTCCCATTCAGTCCTGTCACTCTGTCAACCTAACATTTTCAGTTGCAATGCCCTGCTGTTTGCATTTCTTGACATAGTAGAATCATTCTCTCACAAGATCTGCTCCTGAGGAAAAGGTTGAAAAAGAAGGTCTCCTCCGAACTTTACCTGAACCCAAGGTGGATATATAAACACGGCTCCTGATCAGTTGCCTGGCCAGCTGAGGAATAAGGGAGGAGGGTTGGTGATGAGAAAAACTTTGGAAGCATCTCCCGACTCTTACCTAACAGCCTGGCCTGATGTCTCCTGGTATGTCCATGTAGAAAAGACCCAGACCAAGCCAAGTAAAGGGTAGTCACTGACGTGAGCTAGAAACAATGCTTTCCTGAGAACTGTTGACATCTTTGTACTTAGCTGGTAAATAAGGCAAGTCTTAGGGATTTTTTTTCACTTGAAAGCAGTTATTTCTGTCACTTATAAAATTTTTAAGCTTCAAAATTTATGCTAACCCTTGAAACTTACTCTTATTCTCAAAGCAAATTTCCTAGCAATTGTTTCACTCTTCCCTTTAAGAACACCTAAGCCTATCTGGGCAATGGGCAGTGTGATGTCTCACTCCAGGATTCCATGCAGGTAAAAAGAGAAAGATTATACATACACACATATATGTGTGTATATATATGTGTGTGTGTGTGTGTATATATATACACACACACACATATTTCTTTAAATTCCTTTAGTTTTCTCTAAGTTTAAATTTCCAAATTGCCTCAAGCTCAACCTCCTGACACTTTTCAGGCCATCTGGGTTTCAGCGGGGCTCTGAGTATGTTGGTATGCTTTCGCAGCTAGCTACCCTGTATGGAACCATTACTTGGATTTATTAGTATAGTATAGAAATCAGTTCATCTCACCTATTCCTCCTGATGTACCGATTCTGATAATGGTAACGTCAGAGCACCGGGCATGGTATAGTAATTTAATGAGTTCATGAAGCATAATAGAAATGGAGGGGATGCCCATGCCATGCTGTGGAGAGAAAAGGGAAAGTCATTATACATCTCGCAGACTGATACACGCACAGGACATATTTTCTTCCTTCATTACAAGTTAACAGCCCGCAGATGAATTTACATAATCATTATGACTTTGCCAAAGCTGAGAAAAACGTAAGTCAGCTCTAACTGACGCCCACATGACATGCTGATAGATGGGTCCATCTGTGATGATCAAAGAGAGGCATCTCCCTGCCAGTTAAACTGAGTTCAGCCCTCATTGTCAAGAGCAGAAGGTAGGGACAGCGTGGTGTACTGGTGTGTCAGGGCAGTGCCATTTCTGGGCTTTTCACAATGAGTCTTTGAAAAAGAGCTTTTTGCAAGATTGACTTGATTTCGAGGAAATATAGATTTGGCTGCCACGTATTTAATCCTTTTCCACCATAGTAAATGAAAGAGTAAATCCATTTCATTGATCCATGTATCCATGTTCATTTGCTGGTAACTCTGTGTGAGCTTTGAAAGGTACGAAGTTAGAGATATGGGTTATACCTACACCTAAAAATTGGAGCATATACTAAGTGTGTGCATGCCTGCTAAGTCACTTCAGTTGTGTCCGACTCTTTGCAACCCTATGAACTATAGCCCATGAGGCTCCTCTGTCCTTGGGATTCTCCAGCAAAGAATACTGGAGTGGGTTCCCATACCCTCCTCCAGGGATCTTCCACACCCATGTCTCTTATGTCTCCTGCATTGGCAGGTGGGTTTTTTACCACTAACGCCACCTGGGAAGCCCATACTAAATGTGTAGGTGAGACTAAGTTGTTGATTAAATTGCTATAGATCATGACTACAACCCCATCTTCCTCAGCATTTGGAAGAGTAGAATCATTGTCATAGAATAAAGATCAACACAGGTTAGAGGACTTGGCCATTCTTGGCATTTACAATATGTTCTAATAATGTTCCAGAAAGATCCTCCATGCTGGAATTTGTGGTAGATGGAGCTAACTTTAGAATCAGTTTCTATTTCATTTCTAACATAATGCCAGAGAGTCAAATGTGGTCTTCAATATTCTACTCAGGCACAAAGACTTTGTGTGCACAAAGCACCAGGGGCATCTTGGCAGTTAGGTGATGGCTTCCACTAGTTCTTCATTAACAAATCTGGAAAACCACTCAGCCATGGGCACAATATTTTCACTTGAGTTACCTTTTTTTCACCATCACGAATATTAAACTACGGAAACTTTGAACCTCTGGATTTCCTATTTTTGATTGCCATGGAACATGTTCTGACTTCCAAATGCATCATAAGTCTCCTAGAGGCATGAATCAAACCTATATTAATTGTATGTCCAAGATTAACAAGTCTGGGCTCTGCCACTAATGAATAAACTCTCTAAATCTCATTTCCTCAATTATAAATGAAGAGAATGAACCATTATTTGATCTATTAGTTTCCTCCTAAGTCAGATACTTGATAGGTTTATGATTATCACTTTATATACGGCATGGTGATAAAGTGACAAATGGGCTTGTGTATTTCTACTGAACTCTCTGTCTCTCTCTCTCACACACACACACACACACACACACACACACACACACACCCAGACCTCAGCAGCTTTTGGAGAGGAAGAATTTTCAAAGAAGGGATCTCAACTAGAAATCCTCTTTCTGCCTACTGAGGCTCATTTCCAATTGGCTGACCTCTTCCGGCATGATGCATATTTCAGTTCTTTTTCTGACAGGTCAACAGTATCAGTCGCTGCTGTTTTTATATCTGAAGTTTTACTATTTATTTATGATAGTTTCTCATTTTTATAAATTTTACCTTTTTGTCCTTCCACATTTATTGTGCAAAAAAGGACAAAGAGTTGTAGTCTAAAAGTCAAACAAAAGTTAGTAAGACAAAATATGCCAAGATCAGGGGGTATTCAGTTTTTCCTAATGTAGATATTCTATAACTGTTAGATAAACAAATACATGAATGAATGGTTTCTCCCACTTGAGTCCAAAGCAGGCTCTATGTATTTTGACTCAGAGGAGAGATCAACTTGACTGTTCCACTAGTGTTACATAGTTTTCCCTTCTTCAGTCCAGGCTTGCAGCCATGATCATCCATTCTTCCATCTCCAGAGTGACTGAGGAAAAGTAGTTATTCCCTAGTGCAGGAGTCATGTATAATTCAGCTCCTTAGAATTGTCACACCCTGTTGTAGATTCTTCACTTGTCATCTGACATGGTTAACTGTCTCCTTATGGGGGCTTCAGTGTCTAGATATGTACAGCCTCAGAGCTGTTGTTTCAGAAAACAGCCCTGTGGCAGAGAGACCCACTTGGAAGGCAAGCTGGGTGCACATGCATTTATACTTGGCTAAGTGTATGCTATCCTGGGTCCAAGAGGGAAAGAGGCTTTGTGTCCCCTAAGATTGCAAGTCATTCCACTTTCATATTGTCTCAGGACACTGTGTGTCCAGAACTGTTAGCATGTTCTAAATACAGGAGAGCAATTTACAAGATCTGCATAGAAATGCATTAGCAGCTTTTCAGCAAGCTTAGTATAGTGTTAAATGGCACCACTTCGGTAATCCTGAAAATTAGACCCTGTGTACTAAAAGCCCAACATTCCCAAAGTTGGATAAGACATAGAGGAGAAAAATTGCTGGTGGCTTATTAATCAGTTACAAACTAAAGAGAGGAAGTATGCTTTGAAGCCTTTTCCCCCTAACTTGCATAGCTTAGTCGTAACTAATAAAGTATACCAAAGTGGCACGGAATGTTATTTTCTGCCCCTAGGACTTTTTCCAACTATGAATGTCACACCTGGACACTTACTTTAACTGTGCAAAGAAGGAGAGGAAAAGGAACTCCTATATTTGGAAGGTCCCACTTTCTTTTGCTTGCTTGTGATGACTAGGTGACATGCAGCTATTGAGTACTTACACTGATGGAGAGGACGGGGCCGATTTTGTACATACAATATCTGTCTGTCCCAGCACAGATATCCTTGACGTCCTCTTCACTGTCCTCCAATCTGAGCTCCTTGTGCATAAACAGTGCAAATGCTTTCATTCTGTTGGGGCTCCCACCAACACAGACAAACTGATAATAAAAATAAACAATTACCTGCCTTAGTACCTTAGATAAAAGGCAAGGGTCATCTTTCAACTTTAATGTTGTTATTTTGTTTTTCAGTTATATACTTCAGGATATATGTAGACCTTCTGGGTTAATGTTCATGAGTTAAATAATTGGCATCATTAACTGGGAAATCAGGCAACCAGAAAAAGTTTGATGTACTTAATTAGTAAAGAAAAAGATAATCACAAAATCAAAATAAGTGTTGATTTTGTTCAAGTGGGTATTTTTGTCACAGTGAACATCAACCAGCATTTTAAGTTCATACAGGCAGCCTGTTGTTGGGCATTAGTGGGCTACAGGCTTAACATGGCAATTCTGTGGACATGGAGTGTAAGTAATGTGAGAGTAACCGTAAGAGAATAACAACTTTAGATATGTTTTCTGATTCCACCCTACAAATCATATGCTTTTATTGTGAAATACACGATGTTAACATGAAACTTAAAAGAAAGCACAAGGCTTTCCAACTTCTCATTCAGAAGAAATCCTCATGGAACAAGCCTTATCATTGTAGACTAAAAATCTCAGTTTGGTATTTCATCGCTTCCAATGATTCGGTTTTATTTTTGTCTTATTCATTCACATTTTAACATCTTTGAAGTTACAATATGTGTTGCAGTCAAGAGTGTCAAATCTAATAAAGTACAGTAATAAAATTGTCTGGTAATTGCTTGTGCAATAGCCTGTTAGGGGTACATCAGCCCCAGGGCTGGGAGAGGTGGATGCCAGAGACAGGATGGGCATGACCTAAGTGTAGCATGGATGAGCAGCCAGCTTTGTGGGGACCAGTGCTAGCAGTGGGATGATGAGTGGCAGCAGGTATCAGAGACCCAGTGAAGCATAGTCCACAGAAAGGTACCAGGTGCAAAGTCATCCTGGAATCTGAGCTGAGTGGTAAAGTGTACAGAGTCTGAAGAAGCCCTGAGTCAGAGAGATATGGAAACATAGTGGTTAAAGGACTGCCCTTTGAAGTTAGAGAAGCCTGGTTTTGTACCCCAATCCTGTCTCTGATTAAGAAGCTTGTTCAGTGTCTTACAGGTAATCTCTATGTGCCTCGGATCATCATGACCAAAACAGGGAAAAAATATAGTCTCTTTTGAGGATTTTGTTGAGTGTGATAGAGGACAAAGCCAGGCACCTTTTGAGTGGTCAACAAATGGTAACTTCCATCTTTCATATTATAGAGCAGTTTCCTAGCCCTGCTTTTAGCTTGCTTATTTGTTTCTGTATTTGCATAATTTTTGCAAATGAAGCTGGTTCAAATCCAGCAAGGAAAAGGCAGCTGGTGCTGCCTGACTGATGCAGGCAGTGTTGGGCAGAGCTTCAGAAAGATTGTCGATGAGGTCTCTCACGGGGATAAAGAGTATCTGCCGAAGGAGATACCTAACTGAGGTTGTAGAGTTAGGTGCCCAATTCACAATCGATTTACTGTGAATGACGGGTAGTCTCACTACACAAAGCATTCTGTTTCCATTTAGCAATAATTCCTGTGCCACCTCATTCTCTATTATGGGGGAAAATTAACCTTTTATCCAGGCCCTCTGCTTCTCTCCTACCCACATTATTGTCTTCTCTGTGCCTTCTTAAGAGGCTCTTGGTCGGGGCCTAAAGTTGATATGAACTGTAATGAAAGGTATTCATCAAGCCTAAGTAGCAAAGAGGATAAGACCATGGTCCAAGGTGAGTTTTTGAATTATTATTGATTATTCATGAAATTTTCCCCTTGTGAGTATGGATAGTTAAGACTTGGCTCAGGATCTAAGTACAAGGAGGTCATTTTTGTTGTTGTTGTTTCCTTTTTACAAAATACAGTAGTTTGAAAATAACCTCATTGTGTGGTACCATAAATGTAAATTACAGCTATTCAGATTGACCATAAAACCAAAACAGATGTTGGAATACCTCGCGGTTTGAATTCTTCTTTGAACGTAGATATTGCTGTAATCAATGGGAATTTCTGAATGTTTCTGGAGACATAAAGATGATAAGTATAGACAAAAGCATTTTTGTTCTTAAAGAGTTATTTCTAAATCAGACTTACTAAATATCACCTCTGGACATAATTTTCAGTCTGGTTGCTTTGATGAGAAGTAAAATACAACTGAAGACCACCAACCAACATTAACCTTAAGCAACAATTTCTGTGATTTATGCTCCCCTCAATTATGATTTGTCCTAGTTCTATCAAAGGAGATAAAAATGAGTTGGGAAGGAGTCTGAAGCATTGCAAAACTATGTTAAGGACTTGGCCTAATGACTGCCAGAGTGAACTCACTTTCAAATATGCCTACTGTTTTGAAAGACTTAGCTTTGCCATGTTGTATTAATCTAGTCCTATTTAAGTATATGTATTGCATATGTTAATAAAGAAGTAAAAAGACTTAAAATACACATTACGTAGTGGTATAATGCTTTTCCATATTACTTGAAATTTCTAGGGAGAGAATGGAGGGTGCCAGTTAGTGATTTTATAAAAGATATATTTGGAGGCTGAATTTGAGCAGATAGCGTCTAAAGATCCCCCACTATATTTTTCAGATGATTGATTGAGTCAAGTCAGTACGACAGAATACATTAGCTGTTCACCAAGGCTATTTCCCCATCTTTCTGGGTACACTACTAAATGTAACTTTCCGGCCTTCTCTTCAGTTAGATGAGGCTATATACCTGAGTTCCAGCTGCTAGAATGTGAACAGAAGTGATGAGTGTCACTTCCAGTTCTCACCCAGAGAAATTTCCCATTAATGATCCTATAGATTGTCTTCCATGTGTCTGCTGAATGGGTGTTGATACCCAGGCACTCCTTGCAAGGCACCCCTTGAAGATGACAGAGCAACAAGATGAGAGAAGTCTGGACCCTTAATCACCAGTTGGAGGAAAGCGACCCAATGACCAGGGGCACCCACTTGGTACTCGGTGTGGGTGAGAAACAAACTTACATTGTGTTAGGCCACTGATATTTTGAAGTAACAGCTAACAAAGCCCTTTTAAGTATGGTAAGTAAGAAAATGAAGAAAATAGAGATCATTTCAATGCTTCAAAATTTTAAGTTTAAAAATTTTAGACACTCAAAGTTCTTCTTTTCTTTGAACACAGTGGTATTAATAATGATCATCTCTGTGAAGATAAGGCTAAGTTTTCAGGTACTGATTGGTTATGTCCTCTCTTCTTACCTAGGATTGCTATCTTGGAATTTAAGTGAGTCAAGTAATTGCACCTAGCATGTTCTAATCAGCCTGTATCATCACAGCTTGTGCCATAGGAGCAATGGGAGGGGAGGAAGCAATTTAACACCTACTGTTAATGAGCATCATAGATTGATTTCTTCACCTCCCTCTTCCCGCTTTCCTTCCTTCTCCTCCTTCTTCACGTAACTACCATCCTCCTCCTCTTCCTCCCCTTTCTCCAGTGCCCCCAGCCAATTAATGGACTGTTCTCAATTACGATGACTCAAAGAGCCCACATAGTGCAGTAGGCAAGAATCCTGGAAACTAGGAAAGCCCTGGCTCTGCCCCGTATGGCATAACTTGTTAACCACCTTTGACCACCCTGAACTCAATTTCTTTACTTTATGGAGAAAATGAATATCTGCTATACCCACCAGAAGAGGGAATGTGAAGATTTGAGATAGTGGGTATGCGAATTTTTATTTTTGTTCTTATAATTGCTAAAGGAGTGAATTAAAGTCAGCTGAAAACTGCAGAGTTTTCTAGTAGTGGGACTGTGATTCGGTGTAGGTTTTTTAGAGCACAAAAAAAAAATTTTTAAGTTCATATATGAAATAGATCATGAATGAGAGCCTAGTATACAGTTCAGGGAACTCTACACAATGCTCTGGGGTGACCTAAATGGGAAGGAAATCCAAAAAAGTGGGGATGTATATATAGAGGGAGACTTATAATTCACTTTGCTATACAGCAAAAACTAACACAACATTGTAAAGCAACTATACTACAATAAAAATTAATTTAAAAATAAGTTTATTCCCTTTGACCACTTCTGTATATTATCTTAAAGAAATAGACTTATATGTGAAAAAATTTTAGGTACAAAAATATCAATTTGAGCGCTGTTTATAATGGAAAATACTTCAACATGAAAGCCAACTTTAGACTATATAATGTATGGCATAGGCACTTGGCATCCATAAAAACTGTGTTTCAAAGAGAATATTGTAATATGGGGAAATATTAATAACATCAAGTTAAATGAAAAACACAAGATGTAAAGTTATGTAATTCCAACTATTTTAAAATCTATTAAAAAGCTTTAAGAGAAAAGAAAATAAGTTGATGGCATCTATGTCTAGATGGTAGGAGTTTTTCTTAGGTGTGTTTTTTAAGGTCATTATTCTTTTTTATATTTTTCCAATTTTAAATAATGAACATGAGCCACTTTTATAATTAACATATACATTTAAGATAAATAATACAGACATACAATTTTCCTAGTAACATTCCATAAACAATTTTTTCTCATAATATTGTCTTATGAAATAACAAAAATCTTAATAATATGAAATATTGAATAATTGTTTTCAGGAAGTGGTAGATCCTATTGTTAGTTCTGTTGAGTTATTTCATGGTTTGATAAAATGAAGATTAGTGAGGTTCATCTGTAAATAAAATGTTAAACAGTGAACTGAATCATAATGAATTCTGAACACCCAGCAGGATTGTCAATAAAGTCAGATTTATCTCTAGGGGCCAGAGAAGCCAAATAACAATGTTTGCATTAGATTTAGTTTGGGAACGTGTCTTGTTGAGGTGGAAATGATTGTTTATAACATACACAATCTAAATTGTTTCAGAGAATAAGCATGACTTTGGTTCCTATTAGACCTCTGACATTTCTCTAGCCAAAAGAGTAATGTTTATGTTAGGAAAATAAGGAGAAATATCACCAGAGGAAATTAAATTGTTGTCCCTAAAGTTAGAAATACTTTTACCTTTACATCCCCAAACATTTCTGGTAGGTTGTGTGTTTTTGTTCCTAAATCCAAGTGATAGAGAACATCTTCATCCATAGAGTCCAGGTAAGGATTTTTAACATGAACAAAACTTTTTCTGAAAAAAAAAAAAAAAAAAAATAGTACAAAGAAGATGTAAAGGAATCTGGAGAGATACCACACAAAAGAGAAATATCATTCTACATCTATGATAACCATAAGCCCAAATATTGGACACAAACCTTCATTTAGGATTAATTGATTTGTAAGGAAGAAATACAGTATAAGGAATAAAAATGACAAAGATTTGCTGTCCTTTCACTGTGTGCCAGGCATAGCATTAGGCATGAAAATTCCACAATGTCATAAAAACTGCATATAATAAATACATTACTTCATTTAATCCTATAATCATTCTATTAGGTAACAAACACTAATAATTCAATTTGTAAGAAGCCAAAGCTTACAAAAGTTGAGAAACTTGTGCAAGATTATATAACCAGGAAACTGCAGAACCATCATTTCTGCACAGGCAGGCTTTTGCTGCCATGGCTATCCTTCCATACGCTCTGCTGAGGGAATATTATCACTGCTGTCTTTTCATCTCTGCATATTTCTTTGTCTCCTCAACTTTCCATGGGGTTTTGTGTATGTCTGTATCTGAGTGTATGTGTACATGTAATCTGTGAGTCCAATAGTGTCTCTCAGCTCCACAGACCAGTGTTTCTTAAAGTTCAACAAGCATAAGAATCACTGGACACTTTATGGCTTCTCCTCTAGAAATTTTGCTTCAGCAGGTTGGGGGTGTGTGTGTGTGTCAGATTTTGCCTTTTAAACAAGCTGCTCATTGGTGTGGTGTTGCTGGCCCAAGGATCACACTCAGAGTAGCACTGCCATTGAAGATTCCATCAACCTTGCTGAATACACCACCCCCTCACCATGCGAGTGGCCACTACCCCAGCTTAGACCGCCATCACAGCAGTGCAACCTGAACCACCGGTTTTTCATCCCTCCCTTGGTAAAGTAATACAAGACATGGAAATCAAGACCGTGAATTGACTGCTTTTATAGAAATCACCTTAATTCAAACATTCATATTTATGAAGCACATCATCTATATAGCCTTTGGTTATTTCAATAATAATTATATACTGCTTTAATTAGTAGTGATAAAAAATTATGTACCCTACACCACAGTGGATCCAGCCATCTTTACCAAGAACCATCTGGGACTTTTCTGTTCTATAGACCTCCCATTTCCCTCCAAATACCTCAAAACACCTTAACAAAAACCTTGTATCTTTCTATATCTCTGATGATCCTCAACCTGACTGTACATTAAAATCACCAAGGGGCTTTGTAGGAAACACTGGTGCTCGGGCCCCAATTAATTTAAACTCTGATTATGTTTCAGATCTTCTGGGATGATCTGATGTGAAGCCAAAGTTAAGGACCCTTGCTCTAGGCCTTTGTTCCTGAAACAGCCTTATGCTACCCTTCCATTTTTTAATTATTGGAATCCTACTCGCTCTTTTTTTAAAGTATGGTTTCAGATATATATAGATTTTTTTTATTGGAGTAAAATTGCCTTGAGTAATGAAAATTTTAAAAATAAACAAATGGGACCTTATTGAACTTAAAATCTTCATCACAGCAAAGGAAACCATAAACAATATGAAAAGATAGCCCTCAGAATGAGAGAAAATATTTGCAAGTGAAACAACTGATTAAAAGATTAATCTCAAAAATATACAAACATCTCATGGAGCTCAATATCAAAACAACAAACTCATTCAAAAAGAGGCAGAGACCTACATAGACATTTCTCCAAAGAAGACATACAGATGACCAAGAGGCACATGAAGAGATACTGAAAGTGAAAGTCACTCAGTCGTGTCTGACTCTTGAGCCCCATGGACTAGTCCATGGAATTCTCTAGGCCAGAATACTAGAGTGGGTAGCCTTTCCCTTCTCCAGGGGATCTTCCCAACCCAAGGATCAAACCCAGGTCTCCTGCATTGCAGGCAGATTCTTGACCAGCTGAACCACCAGGGAAGCCCAAGAATACTGGAATGAGTAGCCTATCCCTTCTCCATGGGATCTTCCCAACCCAGGAATCGAACTAGGATCTCCTGCATTGCAGGTGGATTCTTTACCAACTGAGTATCAGGGAAGCCCTCACTAGGTATTAGAGAAATGCAGATCAAAACTACAATGAGGTACCATCTCACACCAGTTAGAATGGCCACCATCTAAAAAGTCTATGAACAATAAGTCTACAAACAATAAAGAGGGTATGGAGAAAAGGAAACCCTCCTACTCATCCTTCAAGGTCAAATTCAAATACCATATCCTCTGTGAAGGCTTTTCAAAGCATCTTTCCTCTCTGGTCAGTATGAATTCCTCTCCACTGTGCTCCTAAAGCATTTATTTTAGCATTTCATTTGCCTCCCCAGAAAGATATGAATTCCCTCATGCAAGCTCTCTCATATATCTTTTTTTTAAGCTTTTTATTTTCTGTTCGAGTATAGCCAATTAATTAATGGCAACCCACTCCAGTACATTTGCCTGGAGAGTTCCATAGACAGAGGAGCCTGGTGGGCTACAGTCCATGGGGTCTCAAAGGGTCGGACACAATGAGCACACATGCATAGCCGATTAGCAGTGTTTTAGTTTTAGGTGAACTGCGTAGGGACTCAGCTGTACATATACATCATTTTTTTAATTCCTAAATCTTTAAAAATTCTACTTGCTGAATAAAATTTAACTGTTCATGAAGTAGAACAGAAATGCTATTAATTTCCAAGACATCTAGGATAACAGATTCTTAGTGAATCAGAGTAGATTTCAAAAATAAAGTATTCTATGGCATTAGTGCACTTTCAGAATAAGCTTCAAAGCAAAAGGATATCTCTTTTCTTCTCTTGATGAAGGGCAAGAGGACATTTACCCACTGTCCCTTGCTAGACAAAGTGGTCAATGAACCAGCAGGGTCAGCAGCATTCACCTGGGCAACTTGTTAGAAATGCAAAATTTCACTCCCTACCCTAGATCTATTGAAGTCTACATTTCAACTAACTGTTTTGTGATTCTCATGCACATTAAAAGTTGAAAAAAAACAACAAACCACTTCCCCTCCAAGTTCCAATAAGCCTCCCGGCCTAACCCGCCAAAAAAACCTCAACAACCGGGAAATTTTCCTTTGGAATCCCAAGTGAATGAGTGAATCATTACTCTGTAAAAGAGTTCATCTACTCCAGTGAGTCAAACTCTAACTACATATCAGAATCATACATGGTGCTTTAAAAAGGAGTGATACCTGGACCCAGCTCCTTGAAAATCTGATTTAGTTGGTCAAGGAGATCTGGGACTTTGTATTTTTAAAATCACTGATCTACTCCACCCTTCCTATCTTCAAGAAGAAATTCTCAAACTGGCATAACCATTAATTATATTCTTTCATGTTAATAATAATACTCCTCTTAATTCATTCTTTAGTTTTCCTTGATGTCCCATTGTCTAATGATCCCTTGGACTAGAAATTGGGGCAGGGACATGTCTGTAGAAGATTTTTATTACATTGGATTCATCGAGAAGCATTTCTAAGATGATCATGCTTACCAATGACCAAATAAAGTATTAATTTGGGGTATCATACCAAATTCAATCCCGTATGAATCAGACAATTGCTTCAGTTTTTCCAAGATATATAATTTTTTATTAAATAGACTTGCATTTACTGTCTTCTCCTCTACCTTGTTTTGCTTTTTTTTTTGCTAAAACATAAGCCAGAGATGGGGTTGGGAATAAAGTCTTTTAGCACACTATGACAAGCTACATGGCACGGTCAGTATTAAATATTGTTAACCAAAGTAAAGTACTGGCTGAGAAGTCTTTCCATTTTACTATTGCCTCCATCTTCATAAATTTTCCTTTTCTTTCTCCTTGGCTTCCCTGAAGAAATGAACACAGTGGAAGGCTACTTCTGTTTGGGATGTGTAAGTGTAGCATTTTCTAAAATGCTGACCTGATGGAGGCTTTAAGCAGACATTTTACACAACTCTCAGCAAATCAGAGGGAACTTGCAAAAATTCCTTAAGCTTCATGAAGATTAATGCTCTATTATGTTCTGTGAACCTGGGGCAAGAATTGGAGCTAAATTTGCAGACAGCTTCAACAGATTTATGTCTACCTCTGAGATGAATAACCTACATGGTATTTTAAAAGTGAATTCTATGTAAAGTCCATCACAAAGCATATGAAATCACTTTGTAATATGCTGCAACACAGTTAAATCTGCCTTAGATACCAGGAGGCCCCTTTAATTATATCTCAGATACAGCACATAGTCTTGGAATTAAAGACTGAACTCCACACTGAATTTCAGGCTGAACTGTGAATTTGTTCATTCAGGCAGTTTGGTTCAGCTTTTCCATGTTTTTTTGTGACTTGTTTTGCCCCCACTTTCTTTTTTCTTTAATTGAGATGTAATTGACATATTGCCCCACTTTCTTAAAGATGAGCTAAACTCTCCCAAGAACTGAGGAAAGAAAATGTCATTGAGAAGAAAATTGGCATTGTTTTTGCTTTGTATTCTGAATTGTGTTCCACCTATGTGATCCCTAAACTTAAGAAACTTACATAACTGTAGAGATCCATCTTCTGAACATTTAATATAAAGTCCAAAGAACCTCCATCTTGTCAAAGTCAATAGAAAAAAGTCAAAATTACTCACCCAACGTATGTATTCCTGTCAGATCTCAAGGATGTATTGGAAGCAGGTAAAATTGAAGCCATACTCTATAATATGAAGACAGTCACTCTTAAGTTGATAACAGAAAATAAAAATATTGTAATTTGCTATTCAATTACAGATCAAATCACGGTAGAATGATGTTAGAATGCCACTCTCCCTTTAAACTTGTTTTCTTCTGAAACTGCTAATGGAACTTTCCCCTTAGCTTTCTAAACTCCCTTATCAATTCAAAAATTTTCCCCCTGACATAGCCTTTTATACCATACCCTAGCTCTCAGGGCAACATTTCCCCAAGAAGATAGGCCCCCTTTGAAGGTGTGGCATCCTATCTCTTTAATAGGATAGGTTGGTTGATTTGTTAACTGTTGACCAGTGCACCCTCTCCTTACATTTGGCCTTTGTCCAGCATGGGTCTGGGGTAGCACACAGACTTATTTACTTTAAGACAACTCTATATGGTTTCAAGTCCTCCATTGATTTCCATATCAAATCCATCAGGTTGTCTCAAAATGTATCCGGTACGTGTGAAAACTTTCAGTTCCCAAACATTTCATTTTCTTACCCCATCCTACCTCTCATAAACTTTTTTTCATTCTTTGTGATCACAAGTGAGAAAAACACACAAACTCAGGAACTCAGTACACCCTTTCATTTGAACTTTGCCCGTTCAAATTCACACAGAAGGTCTGATAATTAAACAAAATCTGTTTCCAGGTACTTTTTATTTAGCTAAACCCAAGGCTGCCTGTGAAATCCAATGAAGCAGCTGTCAGAAATCAACCCAGGTAGAATAACAAAATACAGACTAATATTTTCAGAAAACAGGGTATATCTGTCAAGAAATCCATGAATTCACCGTGTTTGCTGTTGTTTATCACTTTATACTTCTACAGACAGAAAATCTAAAAGACGTTAGAGGAACTTCATCATCCTATTTCACGTTTGGCTTAGCCCCAGTGGCAATCAGGTGAAGTTCTACGCTGGTGAGAGCATCAAGAATATTAGTCTCATGACTTTCAAGCAAACTGGAGCTTCAAATGTCCATAAATACCCAAACAGCACCAGATCAAGGCATTCCATAATGTGCATGGATTTCTCTGTAAGGATGTGCATAACAGCGGAGAATCAAATGCCCATATCTTTTTTTTTTTTTAATTTTTTGGAGTATAGTTGATTTACAATGTTGTGTTGGGTTCTGGTGTACAGCAAAGTGAATCAGTTATACATATATCCACTTTTATTTTGATTCTTTTCCCATACAGATCATTACAAAGGTTTGAGTAGAGTTCCACGTGCTATACAACATGTCCTTGTTAGGTATCAAATGCCTGTGTCTTAATTGGAGTCTGCGTGTTAGAAGATACTCCTCTTCCTGGTGACAGTCATTGTGGGAAACTCCTCAAACCCCATACTGGCTTCCTTTGGTCCATCTTAGCTAGCAAAGTTTACTGATTGAAAAGGAAAGGCCGTAAATAGGGAACCAATGTAGCAGCCTAAGCCCTGTCATTGCCACCACCAAACATACATTTGTCACTTTGGGTATCCAAAAACCCCCAAGGAAACTGAAGGTAATGGAAACTTTGAAGCAAAATAAGCCTGCACATGTATGTTGCTTGTAATTTGGAACAGTAGTTCTTGTTTGTAGTTTATAATAACACATATGTCTCTGACCTCATGACCTACCTCGAAGTGGTCTGCTTGCTGCTCTTTCCCAATGCCCCCTGACAGTGTTGAGACTCAGAATGCCCACTTTCCACTGCTGGGACCTTCCCACTTATGTTTAGTATTCTGTGCTCCTCTCAATTTTCTGTTGAGTATAATGAGGAGGAACCCCGCACCCGCCACCCACCGCCGCCAATTCCAGTGTGGCATTTACCTCTGGTTCTGACAGGTGAAAACATTCACTAATTAGAAAAATGCTATATAATTAATTACTCCAGTGAATTAATTAGGCCAGTTGACATGTTGGTTTCCAGTGCAAATTCTGTCAGCCAATGATCTTTTCTCAAAATTATAGTTGATTTACAATGTTGTATTAGTTCTCGGTGTACAGTAAAGTGATTGTTATATACAAACACACATGTATATATTCTTTTTATATTCTTTTGATTTATAGATTATTCTAAAATATTGAAAATATTTTTCTGTGCTATACATTAGGACTTTGCTGTTTATCTATCTTATATATGGCACTTTGTATCTGCTAATCCCAAACTCCTAATTTATCCCTTCCCTAATTTATCCTTTTCTTTGTGGCAACCATAAGTTTGTTTTCTATGCCTGTCAGCTAATGATTTCATCACTGCCTGTGCCAGGTAATGCCAGCAAAGATTTATGGACCCCATATAACAACTCTCCAGGACATTACACAAGTGGTCATCATCTGGGTGGAATGCATAACAGTCTTGTGTAGTCTATGAAAGTGGAGTACTAATTCATGTCTTCTGAGTTGTCTTATTTTCCCTAGTTTTCAATCTTCTTAAGACTCAAGCCCTTCTTATGATAGATTGGTCCTCAATAATTTTTAAAAACTGTCTGTATTGCAAAAGGCCAGTCATCTAAACAAGAACAGGGAAAGTTTTTGTTTTTAGAAAGCACGCACAATGCCAACTCACACCATCACTGGGTGTTTTGTAAGCAGAGGCCACGTGCCAGGAAGAGTCCGTGACTCAGCACAGCTTTGAGATTAGCAGGGGCTGCATCAGCTCCACCAAGTCCGTTCTCCACAGTGCCTGGCCTGGGACAAAGCATTTCACTTTCAACTGTCTTCCTGCACAGTGCCAGCAACCTCCTATTCTCAGTCTAATAAAAATTTTCTCTCTGCTTTAATCTTGCCCCCAAACCTCTAATGTTGGAGAAAAGAAATCAGAGCCCTGCTGTGTAACTGGGTAGCATTCGTGTCTCTCCCCAGTTGATATACTTTCTGCTGAATCTGTGCTATTTACTCATATAAACTTAGGATTATGCATTCAGGCTAAGTCACTTCAGTCATGTCTGACTCTTTGCGACCCTATGAACTGTAGCCTGCCATGCTCTTCTCTCCATGGGATTCTCCAGGCGAGAATACTGGAGTGGATTGTGATGCCCTCCTCCAGGGATCTTCCTGACTCAGAGATGGAACCCACGTCTCTTTTGTCTCCTACATTATCAGGCAGCTTCTTTGCCACTAGTGCCACCTACCCGCCCTCTAAATCTGTGCTCCTATCATGCTGGAGGGGGACATAATTAGAAATTTGAAATTCCCAGAACCTTGCTGTAAGGGCTGGGCATCTACCTAGTGCCAGACACTGTGCCAATTCTGAGAACACAAAAAGGGTGAAATGGATGGTGTCTTTCCTAAAGGAATTTATACTCTAGTGGAGAAGAGAGATGAGTGGTAAATATAACAAGTGCTATGAAAAGAGAGGCCTTGAACCCAAGATGGAAGAAGTGGGAGCTTCTGGGAGGATGTGATACGTGGGTTGAGTTTTGAAGAAAGATGTAATCCCAAAAAAATAGTGCTGAGGGTGGAAGTGGGTAAATATGAGAAGTCTGTGCTCCCGGCCCAGGGAACAGTGTGTGAAATGCATAGAGGTGACAGAAAAAGCATCACATTGAGAGAACCATCAGTAGCACTGTGTGGTTTTACTATTTGCACCAGAATATCTCAGACAGGGCCTTTGGTAACTTTTTCTTTTTGAGATTCTGATATTTTAAAAAATAAGGAAAAGCCAAAAACAAACTTACACTAATTGCAGTGTATTTTAAATGTTGACATTTAGTGAACTGGCATCTTAACTCTTTTAATAAACAATAGTCAAATTGTGTTAGTGACAAGATATTGCAGGGTTATTAAAACAATTCTTAATTCATCACACAATGTAAGTTTAATGAAATACAGTTTAAAGTTACAGCATGTTGTTCTCTTTCTGGGTAATCAGTGAGTTATGAGTATACATATATAAAGTCTAATTGTAGACCAAAGGCCCCCCCAGGGCCCACCAGGTTAGGCCTGCCTCCCAGAAGCCATGCTGAATGCCTTGTTCCTTCCTCCCAGACAATCCGTTCTGCCCTGGCCCTGAATCTCTGCTGCATAAGGTACCACTGAAGGTCATATCCATTCACCTGAAACTACAGCACACACCTCTGCCCAAGAAACAATCACACACACACACAGACAACAGCACCAAACTCACAGCTTGGGGGAGATAGGGTGAGACGCACAGCTAAGTCCCCACACCCACTCCCTCCTTTTTTCCCACATCTGTGCAGGTCTCCCAGGGTATCCCTACTTCCTGCCAGGCCAGAACCCCCACCCCACAACTCCATCATTTGGCTCACTATCGATGACTTGAGAGTTCAAAAAATGTCTTGTTATCCATTTGGATTCTAATGCTAGCTGTGTTTTTTCTTTTACTCATTCAGCAAATATTTACTGAGCATACACTATGCTCCAAGAAGTGTAGGAAGTGCTGGCAATACAGGTGTGACTAGCAGTTTTTGCTTTTCTGATTTCTTCCGCAAACATATTGGCATTCCATGAATAGAGAAGATGCAAGGTATCACCCATCTCACACTATCTTTCTGTAGATTGTAACACATATGTTAAGTGTATCTGCATTATTTTATTCTTAAAACTTACTTAATTTTTGGCTCTTCCCTTAAGTGTTTATTTTACAATATATAGGTTTTAATTGCCTCAAATCTTTTTTAGAAGAAAGGAGATATCTAAAAATACACCACTGTTTCCTTTGTTGTATAGATGTTCTGCAGCTTAATATTTTTACACATATGTGTGAAGAAAATGTACCTTATTATCTATTAGCCACCCAGTCTTGCTCACAGTACCCACTGTCGTAGAAGTTGGGGCAGAGGGTGGTGGCTTTAAACTTGCCCGTCATAGCAGCTTCATGTCTTTGGTTAAATGGTCTCATTCAGATGACCTGCTCTGATTGATACGCATACTCAGTCTCTCTAATCTCCTGCCTCTGCCCGCTTCTTCTATCTGAAATGACACCTGCCGAATAGAGTGTGTGGGGAGAACTTACTTGATTTCTTGGTACAGGAAAGGAGGGCCTCTGGAGCCGTGTGCTCAGTTCCTTGCCATTTCACAGGCGGCAGGTCAGGTGTCGTCCACTGTGTCCCTCTGAGGAGTCTGTGGCTCTTTGGGTTGGTCTGTGAGTCCCTGAATGAGGCCACTGAGATGCAGCTAATTCCATCTAGCACTAGTGGAACATCATGCAGCCGTCCCTGAAGTCTGTGGCCTCTACGCCAGCCTCAAAGCCCTGTTCCACTGTAGCCTTCCTGTTCAGTCTCCTGGCTTCTGACAA